ATAATGATGATGATGATGATAATAATAATAATAATAATAATAATAATAATAATAACGATGATGATGATGATGATGATGATGATAATAATAATAATAATAATAATCAGGAGGAACTCCTAGCTGTACTAACTATGATGGTTGGAGCAAATATCTGTCCTGAACAACTGGTTTCTATCGCAGAGAGAACTATAATTGAAGCTGATACAGGTGCATTCATTCATTCTTTCTTTTATTTAATAAACAATTGATAAATAAACGGCATTTAATAAATTGATTGCTTTATTTGATTTTATTTATTTATTGATAAAAAATTAGCTCTCTATTACTGAATTTAAGGATTTTTCTACTTTTTATTGTTCAATTGTCTTTTTCCAATCTTTATAATTCTAAGTTTGTGGTGAATTATAGTTTAACCCAGAACTATAGTTTACCCAGAACTATAGTTTAACCCAGAACTATAGTTTAACCCAGAACTATAGTTTACCCAGAACTATAGTTTACCCAGAACTATAGTTTAACCCAGAACTATAGTTTAACCCAGAACTATAGTTCAACCCAGAACTATATAGTTTAACCCAGAACTATAGTTTACCCAGAACTATAGTTTAACCCAGAACTATAAGCTGGAACAGTTTTAAAGAGCTCCACATAATTACCCAATTCTGAAACTAAATATCTGCATGGTATTCCATTATCAGTAAGTTTTAAAAAACGACATTTTATTTATTCTTTCGATGCCTTTAAAGTTCTGGGATAACATGTACATGCGCTGAACTAAAGTACACTGACACGTGTCCGAAAATCAATATTTTGTTCAAAATGGAATCATTAAACCATACAGTGTTCTTCAGTTTTGTGTATTCTTTTAAACTCCATCAATTACTAGCAAAACTAACCATGGTTCAGAAACGTTCGGTTACTGTTAGAGTTAAATCTTGTTTTGGTCTTAAATTAACCCATCTTTATGCTTACGTAGTTGTCTCTTTTCATTCAAAACCTATATGCCAACAAAAAGTATAAAAGAACAAAGAAGAAAAATTTATTTTTACTAGATCAAATTGTGTTTGAAAGTCGTAGCTTGCTGGGATAAGGACCGAATTATTAAATCCGCGTGACTATTATTATTGACCCAACAAGATATGTAAGGATTTTGATATTTTACCTTTTATTGACTATTATACTAGAAAATATTTAAAAATCTGGAGTTTGAGCTGATAACTTTAGAATGTTATTTCCTTAATCCTGATCAGTTAATTAATCTCGAGATTAAAAAAGAGTGGATCAAGCATTAATCCCGATATCCACCATTCAAAAGTTCCCAGCTCTGATTACTTTTTTCTAAGCTTTGTATCTTTATAACCTGATGTTGTAGACCTTTAAAACTATGATTATACTGTGAAAGATCATAAAGACAAAGTTTGATATACCAAAGATTCACGTAATCAGGTTTCAAAGATGAAAGAATTATACCAGGACGTAGTCAGGAATTTTGTCCAGGAGAGGGGCTTAAATTTTTTTTCTATCCAGTGGTTTTTTAGTCCTCAACGGGGCTCAGCGCCCATTGGGGACTAAAAATTCCCCGATTTCACTGGTCCGGTGGGGGAGGGGCTTAGCCCCCATAGCCCCCCCAGACTACGCCTCAGGATTAGATAATTAGAATTAGAGGCGAGTAATCAGACCTAGAGCAGATCAGATCACCGTAAATTAATAAACCTGTCATGTAGTTATCAGTTGTAATTCTAATCTGGTTTTGAGGGGAGAGCAGCTTGATTTTCTTGTTTAATCTGCGCATTAATAACCGCTGATTAAACTATTAGAAACCAGTTTCTCAAATTATTTATACTGAATATAACCAGTGGGCCAATATGTATGTACAGGGTATACCACAGCATACTAGATCGTTTATAGCTCTAAATTTACATTTAAAGGACTAATCAGAAAAATTTTAAAAAATGGATCATTTAAAAAAATGTAAAAGTCTAATTTTTAAATTTTCTTGCAGAAAATGCCAGGTTTTTCGAGTATTATGTGTTTATTATGGCGTTAAAGCTTTGATAATCTAATATGATATGGGACGCTCTGTATATAGAATAGAAGAGCGGGGCGGAGTGGATCCAGATCACTAGATAATAAATAGAAACATGTAAACAATGAAACATGCCTGTATTTTTATACTTTTAAAACGTAAAAGAAACGGGACGAAAAATATTGCCAAAAAGTTCCTACTGGACTTCTAGACATTTGACACTGGTTAAATATTTATATATATATTTATCTGAAATATTGTTTAGACAAGGACAACTTGATCTCCTTCGAGGAGTTCGCCAAGGTGCTGGAGAGAACTGACGTAGAGCAGAAGATGTCCATCAGATTCCTCAGCTAGTTCATTCTTATCCTCTTCAGCTAGTTCATCCTTATCCTCCATTAGCTCATCCTCTTCCTCATCCTTCCAAATTAGTTCATCCTCATCATTTCCAGCTAGTTCATTCTCATCCTCATCCTCATCCTTTCAGCTAGTTCATCCTCATCATCATCCTTGCCAGCTAGTTCATTCTCATCCTTCCCAGCTAAAGATCATCCTAATCCTACTCCTTCTCAACTAGTTCTTCCGCATTCACCTACTTTCCAGCTAGTTCATCCTCATCCTCCTACTTCCTCCATGAAAGCTAGTCCTCATCCTCATCTTTCTCCTTCTTCTCCTCATTCTTTTCTCGGCTAATTTTCACTTTACTTCCATAATTTTCTCCTATCTTAATTTTCTTTTTTTTTCTTGGTTTACTTTCCTCAGCTTGCTATATCCTTTTGTTGATTTTTTCTCTTGTCCTTCTAGTTTTCTTCATTTTCCTTTTCTTCACCTTTTTCTTTTTTCCTTCTTTTTATGGATTTACAAAAATCCATTTCCCTTAAGCCTTTCTCCATTTATTCTCTATTCATTCTCCATCCATTCTCCAACCATTCTCCATCCATTCTCTATTCATTCTTCTTCTATTCTCCATCCATTCTCCATCCATTCTCTATCCATTCTTCTTCTATTCTCCATCCATTCTCCGTCCATTCTCTTTCCCATTCTCCTTCTATTTTCCATCCCTTCTCAATTCATTCTCCATCCATTTCCCTTCTATTCTCCATCCATTCTCCTTCTATTCTCAATCCACTCTCCATCCATTCTCTTTCCATCCTCCAACCATTCTTCCTCCATTCTCTATTCATTCTCTATCCATTCTTCATCCATTCTCCATCCATTCTCAATCCATTCTCTATCCATTCTCCATCGATTCTCCATCCATTCTTCTTCTATTCTCCATCCATTCTTCTTCTATTCTCAATCCATTCTCCGTCCATTCTTTATCCCATTCTCCTTCTATTTTCCATCCATTCTTCATCCATTCTCTATTCATTCTCTATCTATTCTCCATCCATTCTCCATCCATTCTCCATCCATTCTCCTTCTATTCCCCATCCATTCTCCTTCATCCACTCTCCATGTCTCCGTCTTACCTTCAGATACGATCATTAATTTATCTGTTCATATAAATCATATTTTTGTAAAAACATAAAAATCAGGATCTATTTTTATGCATATTTATTTTTTTTAAATTTCTATTTCAATCTGTGGTACTTGGGCATTTTTACCATACCAGGGTTTCAACTTTTAAATGCATTTAGCCTTAATACTTCTCAGCGTTGATGCATAACATAACTAAATCTTATCAATTAAAATAAAACTTAACAATTGAATTTTATTTAAACCAACAATCCAAATTCCATATTTGTTTGCGTTGAATATTGTAAATAAGAAAAAAAACTGATTAAGTTTTCATGTTTTGGCAATTTTGATATGAATTTTGATATGAATTTTCAAAAAAAGCAACGTGTCATCACACTAGTCCAATAATCTTTTATGTTTAATGAAAGCTCTACACATTAGAAATTCTAATACATCATATATTATACAATCATAATTAATCAATAAATAAATATTTGAGAGTAATTTTGAAAACTAAAAGAGAGAGTTTTAGAAGAGGTTTTTTGTTTGTTTCAAAGTTTAGGTTTTCCTGTCGGAAGTTATAGCGTTATTTTGATTTGCTAGAATTGCTAATTCAATTATTTAAAAGTTATTTTTATTATAAATAATGTTATTTAAGTAATCCTTTTCTGCCAGTGACTTTCAACCCAAATTATGATTTTTGTCTGAAGAAAATTATTAAAAAACGGTGGCTGAAATCAGATCACATAATTAGCAACATAAATTCAACACAATGTTTATTATAAACCACTACAGAGAAACATATGGCATATTTGCATACTAAAATGAAAAAAATATTGATGTAATACAATTCTAAAATAAAACCTTGCTTTCAGTTTTTAAAAGCAAAATTGTTCTTCCAACTTATTGCTGACATTCAACAGAGTATTTTTCACAATTTATTTTCGCACAATATGATACAGTGGTCAGCGTTTATGTCAATATAATGAAGACGACTTTTTGACGTTTTGAATTCTAACAAGCTATTTTCTAATTACAAGTTTACAAGTGAACAAAAAGAAGCTGTTAACTTATAGCTTCTCTTTTTTCATGTTTATGTGATATTATGCTCTTTAAAAGCTTGGTAGGGATACAAATTGAAATCGAAAGTCGTCTTCATTGTATTGATATATAGGACGAAGACTGTATAACAATGTTCACCAAAATAAAGTGGAATTGAGAGAAGACCTACCATAAATAATAGTACAGTGACAAAAAGCAGAATTTTATAATTATAATGTCGTTAACGTTCTTTCTATATATGGATAATGTGATTATATAATATAGGTCATATCGCTGAATTTTCTATTATTCCCAAATATGTATAAAAAATGAGTTATATGGGATTCCAATTTTAAAATTAATGAAAAGCAAGAGTAAAGACGACTGTCATTCCGCCATCATGGCTTAACAGTGCCTAATTATGATACTGTTAAAATAAAATAATTTAAGAAATTAATTTTAAGCAAACTGCCAATGTTCCCCTTTGAAATATAACCAAAAAGATATATGTGGTTTTAATATTTTAGAATATTACGGGGATCACTTTGGTGTTTTGTAGCTATGAATTGTAAATTAAGCAAAAATATGCTTTACAGAATTTGATATTGTCTTAATCCGTGATAACTTGTTTTACAGTTTATACATCAATATTGTTCCTCCGGGGGAAACCAGATAACTCTTAAATGGGAAAACGACTTTTAGACTATGAATAGTTTAATGATAATGAGACACAGCATGTGTGCAGTGTATCACTGTATAAATACCCATTTTACTAAATAAGTCAGAAGTAACACATAAAACACACTCCATTATTGATTTTATGTCATCTTCCTATTCCACAGTTTTCTAGTTTACACTGTATGGGAAAATAAGTTCAATAAAAACATTACCATTTGTACAGGGTTACCCACCTATATACGAGACACCTATATACGAAATTTGTACAGGGTTACCCACAAAAGGATGAGACTTTAGAGACGCTATATACGAAATTTATAGTGTCTATTCTTATACTGATTATTCCCAGCAACTTTAAACTTCTTTCTTTAGTTGCCAAATCAATAAAAAAAAAAAAATTTTATTCAGTACATTTAATTTTAACTTGTGATAGTCATATTTGAAGATTTTCAAGTCGTCTCATCCTTTTTGGGTGGATTGGGTGACCCTTTAACAGGATATTACGAAGACGAGTCAGTTAAAAGACGACATTTATTATTTACCTTTACTTCTGTGCTGACGATAAATATTGTTGAATTAATTTCACTTTGTTTATTTTGCTTGCCCTGGTCGCGGGATTATTGATTTCACTGTTTATGTCCGGTGTATTGTTTACATGTTTAGAACAAGTTTTACCGAAATATCCCGGCTGACACCGACATTTTCCGTTCTTTCGACAAGATCCACCGTTTTCACAAAGCAGTGCGCATTCTAGTTAAAAATAAAAATAATTTTTATCTCATGTTGTTAGAGAAGAGGAATGTATTGTGATGTCTGAGAGCTGGCTAATAACTTAAATACAAACTACAGGGTGTCCCGGAATAAACATGGGAATTAAGAGAAGACTTGAAAATCGTGTTCGATTTCACATAGTTGATAATTGGTAAAGTATAGTGGTAGGTGAGCTTTTTCGAATTACAAGTTTACAAGAAATTAAAGAGAAGTTTTTTTAATTGACAGCTTCTATTTGTTTCCTTTTGTGTGAATTTATGCTGTTTGAAAGATTGATATATATCAAAATTTAAATCGAAAGTCGTCTACATTGTATTGATATAATCGCCTAACACTGTATGTATCTTAATAAAGATTGTACGTCTCAAGACAAACAAAGACGATATAGAAGTCGTCACTTAACCTTATGTTTATTCGGACACCCTGTATAGGTGTGTAAATTGTGTCTCCGACTTTAATCAATTAAATATCTGCAAATTGTCCGATTCATCATATTCATATGTGGTTTTTTGGTATAGAATATATAACTTTGTTATAAATGTTAAAAGTCTATAAAGATTTTCTTTAAAAAACAAAACCCTTTTGCTTTATTCTCAATTATTTGTCTAAGTTAAAAATTGTCTTGGAAATGTCTGTGAATTGTATTTCCATGTAGAATCCTTGCTTGTCTGATATTGTCTTGTCTAATATTGTCTATACTAATATTGTTTAGTCTGATATTGTCTTATATGATATTGTTTAGTCTGATATTTTCTATACTGATATTGTTTAGTCTGATATTGTCTTGTCTGATATTGTCTTATATGATATTGTTTAGTCTGATGTTGTCTTTTCTGATATTGTCTATACTAATATTGTTTAGTCTTATATTGTCTTGTCTGATATTGTCTATACTAATATTGTTTAGTCTGATATTGTTAAGTCTGATATTGTCTTGTCTGTTCTGTCTCTCATACCTCTATTACAATTTGATCCTGAGAATCCTGGTTTGCAAGAACACTGATTGGGAGCAACACATTTTCCATTGTTTTTGCAACCTCCCGCACATCGAGCTAAACACAACATTATTGATGCAACCTACCACCAACACAACAAGATAAACATCTTTCATTGTTTTGCAACCTTTCGCACAATGTGGTAAACACATAATTATTGATGCAACCTTTTCAACAACAAGGTCATCATCATTTTTGCAGAGGTAGGAATAGTTGTGATATGTACATTGTACAAGAAGTTAAAATACTTTACTATTGTAGAATTGTGGTGTTCAACTAATTTTTATATTTTAAAAAAATCCTTTCAAAATGTAAATCTTTCACTCCGAAACCAGCTTTGTAACTAGCCCTCCTTGTTGTAAAAAAAAAACATTTTTCTCGGAGTTTTGTTTGAAAACAATTGTAGCTTACGTTTATTACACCATCTGCCCCTCCAACCAGGTGGACATAAACATCGGTTTCTTCCTCCGCATGTTCCTCCGTTCCTGTATCATTATCATCATCATCATCATCATCATCATCATCATCATCATCATCATCATCATCATCATCATCATCATCATAATCATCATCATCATCAATTACCATATTATGCAAATATTTCACCTGCATTTCTTTTTACATTTAGGAGTTTTAAAAGCAAGAAAAGAATGGGATGAAGGTTGGGTAGATTGTGATGCTTCTCCGGTAACAACCAGAGCCTGGTCAGAGCTACCTGCTGGAGGTGAGAGGGTTAAATTTGAAATATCTTCTGATGGTGGATCTGGACAGGTTTGCTCAGAGCATCTCTGATGCGCATTACAGGTTGGGAAACATTTTCTCCGACATAGGGTTCCATCTCCTTCCATACCTTTAGGACAGGATCCGCAGGATATATCTCCACCTACTCCTTGGAGACAGGAGACACCAGGGTAGCATCTCACAGTATCCGGGCAGGAGATGGAACGAGGAATGACACAAAGTGTCCCGTCTCCTTTAGAGGGGGGAGGACAGGATCCACAGGAGTATCCACGTTTAGGTGCAGGAATATCAGTACAGGATACTCCAGTATAACAAGGGTTCGGAGAACAATCATCAATATCTAAATAAAGAAAGTCAAAAAAACCGAACGGGTTTTTAGTCAAGTGGATCAAAAACACTTTATTAAACATCAAAAATATTGTACCTTGACATTGTTCGCCATTACCCTCCATACCCTGAGGACATACTCCACATTCGAAACCGTCCTGGGTGGATTTACAAGCTACTCCAGGATAGCAAGGATTGCTCAGACAATTATCTATCTCATCTTCAGCTCCGAAACAAAAAATACCGTCTCCGAGCATACCGTTGGGACAACCTCCGCACTTGTACTCTCCGGTATCTAGCGGAGAACAAGCTACTCCGGGATAACAGGGATTCGGAGAACATGAATCCGTTCTCCGACAATGAATCCCGTCTCCGATATGAGAATCTGGACAGGATCCGCACACAAACCCTGCACTCCGTCCCATCCAGAGATTAACACAGCTAACCCCATGGTAGCAGGGGTTGGTAGAGCAGGGATCATCTGATGGTGTACACTTTATACCATTCCCAACATAACCAGGAGGACAGTTCCCACACTTAGCTTTTCCAGGCATATTGTAGCAGCTCACTCCACTGAAAACAAATCAGAAGAAGTTAATATCCTCATCACTTCATTTAGTTTCCTTTTACTATGAACAAAAGGAAAATCAAAAATGATTTCTCATTGTCATATGTTGAGTATTTAAGAGATATTGAAATACTGTGTTTCCCACAAAACGGGATAGTTAGAAGACGAATTTAAGTCTTTGATCTTGGACTTTCTGACAAAATATGCAGGAAAAGTGATGTAAATTCGTCATATCTTAAAATATTTGGTTCAAAAATCAATTCAATTCTTCGATATCTCAAGAAGACGATATGTCAGTTATCACGACTTTATCATGTTTTCACATTTAGTATTTTTCAAAGTTTGGGATTTGTGTAAAACAAATTTCTACCTGAAACAAGGATTTTCTTTGGCACAATAATCCGGAGTACATTCTTTTCCGTCTCCGACCAGGTTCTCCGGGCACTCTCCACATCTATACTCTCCATCCTTCTCATCTATACATTCTACACCTGGATAACAGGGTCGGGAGAGACAGGCAGGAAGAGAGCAAACCTTACCGTCTCCAACCAAACCCTGAGGACAGGGACCGCAAGAGAATTCTCCGCTCTTCTGAACTCTACATTCTACTCCTCTATGGCAAGGTTTGGATAAACAAGGGTTTCGGAAACATGACTCTCCATCTCCAAGATAACCACGGGGACATGGACCACATTCATAGGTTCCATTCCTGTGTATACAATCCACACTATGATAGCAAGGATTGGATTTACATGCATCCGTCTCACAGGATGATCCGTCTCCAATCATATCCTCCGGACACTTTCCACATACTGGAGATCCGTCAAGAATCAAACAACTTACTCCGGGATGGCAGGAGATATCGGAGCATAAGTTTCGACAGTTGATTCCGTTTCCTATAAATCCGGCGGGGCAAGGATCACAGAGAAACCCAGTAGTTCGACTGTGACAGGTAACGTTATCAAAGCAAGGGTTGGGATGGCAAAAATCTCTGGTACACTGGAACCCGTCACCCTAAAAATAGAAATGTTTAGATACTTCACGACTATCTGAGCAGTGAGAATACAGACCTTGTATCCGGATGGACAGTTTCCACAGATCACATATCCAGAATCAACATTGCAGGATACATTTGTGAAGCATGGATTAGGTTTACATGGATCCGGAGATTTCGCCGTAAATCCTGAAGTTTGATCTAGTAATGAATGTCCAGAGACGACCTCCGATATCCCAACATGTTCTTGAGGTTTCTCTAATACCCCGGAGAGTTTCAACGTTTCTTCTTGTATCTCAGCAAGTCTTGAAGTTTTCTCTGATAAACCATTACGATTTGTAGTTTTCACCATTGTCTTATCACGTCCTGGAGCTCTCTCTGCTATCTCAACACGTCCCAGAGGTTTCTCCGGCTCATTAGGACGTTTTGGAGTAAACGTCGAATCTGTTGGTAAAGAATTATCATTCAAGCATAAATCTGGGTTTGAACTGTTACACAGAGAAGGTTTGCAGTTATCATTCAACCCTGAGCAGATTTTGTCCTGATAATTATTCTTGAAACAATTGACTCCGTTTCCCCACATACCAGGAGGACACGGAGCACAGGAGAAATGCCAGTTAGAGGGAGTACAGATTACTCCGGGATAACAAGGGTTAGGATTACATAAACCAGGAGGTTCACAGCTCATCCCGTCTCCGACTAGAGGTTCAGGACATAGTCCACATTCATATCCATCTCCTAGCTCAAGACAATCCACACCTATTGAGCAATAAATAAATAAATGTTATTGATAGATTTAAAGAAGTTTAAAAAAAGAGGTCTCAGAAAAATGTAATCTTGTACAGGGTGTCCCAATCAACATGGGATTTAAGTAAAACGTTGAGAGAGTCTTTGATAAAAACTATCATTGTGTAATACTTAATTTTAAAAGACATGAATGACATACTTAAGCACTCATTTAAAAGACGACATCTTAGTTGTCACTAAGTTTCCAAGCTTATTGGAAAAGCCTGTTTCTTACTCAGAACTACTGTCATAAGATAATACATACAAAGTGATTAAAATACATACCTGGATAACAAGGACTTGGCTGACAGGGACTTATCTCATCCTCACAGAGCTCTCCCTGTAATGAAAGTTGTTAAATTTTAAGTTCATAGGTCTTCCAAAATATTATAAATGTGAAGTTTTTTTGCTTAATATTAAGCAAATGGTGAGTTTAAGTTCTACATAGATCTTTCTTTGACAAAAAAAAGTGACAATGATAAGATAAGATAAGATATAGTTTATTGCTAAAAATACACATGTACAAGTTATAATGTTACAGGCAAAAAATTGGCAACTATTTCTATGTTGTTTACTGTAATGTATGTGGTATAGCAATTAGGTGGAGATTAGCTATTTGCTGTTTTGGGTATTATTCCCAAATAATTAATATTAAAACGTTTACAATATGATGAATTATACTAAGTTTTGATTACTAGTTAAATTCAGAGAGACCGAGGTGCAGCATAACAAAATAATTGATTTTTCAGTTTTAAAGTTTAGTATGTATAACAGAATATTCATATTTTTAGCAAGAATAACAAAAGGGTTTATTGCATTTTGAGATGTAGGCGTCAGATAACATTTCTAATAAACTTTTTGTTAAATATGCCTATCGAGGCACTTCTTCTTAAATCAAGTGGCAGGTTATTCCATATCTTAAGAAGTGCATATGAGGGAAGATATTCTAATGAGCCTGTATTCAGAATGTCAAATTCCTTTCCGAGTTTTTTAAAAGTGTCGTTAAATGATGAGGGTAGAAGATTTTTCGTGTATTTATACATTAAATGTTGCTGGATTGAAATCAGTCAAATCATTTAAATTAAGGATTTTATACTTAAAAAATGAGGATCGGTATGTGAAGCTGTTTTTGCATTATCAATAATTCTAACTGCACGATTTTGGAGCAAGCTAATATTTTCCATTTGACTTTTTTTCTCCCCCCAGGGTGCAATTCCATATTCTACAAAGGGGCGAAATAAGGAGTTATAAATAGTATATATGCTAAGTGTTACTTGGAACATGGGCGTATACAGGGGGGGCAAGGGGGCAGTGCCTCCCCCCCCCCTTAGAACGCATAGCTTTCACACTTTTCAAATCTTAAACTATAGAGTGAACATAAAAAAATTAGTTTGCTGTTTATTCAGTGCACTAAGAAGTATACGTGAACCAGAGCCACCATGACAGAAGTCCGAATGAAAAATCTATCTAGAATGCACATTCATCCTGATCGGATGGGTGCTATCAGGGATAGCGAAGTAAAACAATTATATTTATTATTTTATTATTTGCAGAAATTGTTTTCTTTTTTAGGAAATGAAGACTTAAAACAGTTTCCTATAGTTTTAAAAAAGACGTTAAAGGAAGTTTCTTGATCAGTGTTTAGAAGAATGTCCCAGTTTTCATTTTCTAGCATTGTTTTAAACCTTGAAATGGATGGAGCATCTAATTTTCGAAATGTTTTTACAGGATTAACTTTCGCAGATTTGTCTTTAAAATGACGAATATATAAAACTGGAAAATGATCAGAAGTGTCTGAAAGGATAATTCCTGAATCATAAGCAACATCAGCAGTGTTTCTGTGTTTGTAACAATATGATCTAGCAACGTAGCTGAGGATCCAGGTATCCTTGTTGGAAGAGGTAAAAGTGGTAAAAAACTATTTTCAAGAAGATCTGGGTAAAGTCCTGTATCAATATGATTTGTGTGTCTTAATTTTATGTTTATATATCCCCTACTAAGATGACTTCATTTACATTCTTAGAATTTGGATCAGACTTAATCATAGAGAATATATGACTTAATTGTTTGATTAAAGTATTAAATGTTTGCATATGGAGCACTATTTGGACGATATATATTTCCCACAAGGATATATTTGTTCTTGCCAATTTTAATCTTAATAAATTGAGATTCAAAAACCCGAGGAATAAAGATAAAAATACACTCTACTGGTTCAAAATAGAAATAATTTTCCACCCAAAGTCCCACACCTCCCCTTGAATTATTATTTAATCCCTGTTTATCTCTAATTTTAAAGTGTAAAGGATGGATATTTACTAAAATAAATTCTAAGTTCTGAGGTTTATTCCATATTTCTTGTAGGGCTATAGCTGATGGCTTAAATTTATTAAAGGTTGTGGCTAAAAAAGTTATAAATTCTTCAAATTTCTCTGGAAGACTTTGAATGTTTAAGGATAAAATACTGAGTTGATTTGTTTCCAAACTTTTAAGTTTATTTTTTAACTCAAGCTCTTCAAAGTATTAAAAATTATGAATATTGTTTAGATAAATAGAATCTTGAAATGTAGATTTAAGGTCGAAAATACGATTTTTTTGTACATGCATAATAGACACATTATCCTGGATCATGATCTATTTTTGTTTACTGTATGTTAGACATGGCGGGACCTTAGCTTTCCCCCCTCCCATATCTGACCCCTCCCAGGAGTAAACCTAGAATCCCTGAAAAATTAAAGTCTCGAATATAAACCAAGAATCCCTAAAATTAACCTAGAATCCCTAATATTAACCTTGAATCCTGAATATAAACCTTAAATCCCGAATATAAACCTAGAGTTTCTAATATGAAACTAGAATCCCTGATGTAAACCTAGAACCCTAACATAAACCTGGAATCCCTAAAATAGACCTAGAATCTCTAATAAAAACCTAGAATCCGTAATAAAACCTAGACTCCCTAATATAAACCTAGAATCCTTAATATCCCCTTATACCCACCTTGGATCCCTAATACCCACCTTGTATGCCTGATGTAAACCTATAATCCCTGATACCCACCTTGAATCCTTGATCGCAGACACATTGGATTCTATTTTCTCTAATCTCACAAGTGCCGTAGAAGCAAGGATTGGGAGTACAGGATGTATCTGGTTCAGAGCAATCCTCTCCTGGAGAAATAAATATATATTAAAAAACTGACAAAATTGTAAAAGTAAAAGTTAACTATTGATAACTATAAGTATAGATGAGTATAGATAACTATAGATAACTATATATAACTATAGATAACTATAGAGAATTATAGAGAATTATATAGAATTATAGATAACTTTAGATAACTTTAAAGAATTATAGAGAATTATAGATAACTATAGTTAACTATAGAGAATTATAGAAATTTATAGGTAACTATGGAGAACTCTAGAAAACTATATATAGCCATAGAAAGCAATAGAAACTATCGATACCTATAGATAACTAGAGATAACTAAAGATGACTATAGGTAACTATAGATAACTATAAATAACTATAATTATAACTATAGATAACTTTAGATAACAGTAGATAACTATAGATAACTAAAGATAACAATTAAATAACTATTGATAACTATTGATAACTAAAGATAACTATAAATAACCATAGATAACTATAGATAACTATGGATAAGTATAGATAACTATAGATAACTGTAAATAACTATAAATAACTATAGATAGCTATAGATAACTTAAGATAACTATATAGGTATATAACTATAGATAAGTATATACAACTAAAGATAACTATAGAGAACTATAGATAACAAAAAGTATGAATATAGACACTCATATAATTAACAACTATTGTGCACACTTCAGATATCTTATTTATTTCATGTTACTGAAAACCTGTAATTTTAAATTCTCTCTGAGCTGTTTAATAGCCAGCATTATAATTAATACCTTTGAATCCTTTCTCACATTCACAAACTGTTCCATTCCTGGACCTCAGACACATTCTTCCGTTCTTACAAGGACAGGGTTCAACTTGGACCCGGAGCAACAATATTTCCTGAACCTCACACTCCGTTTCTCCAACTATCTGAATCAGTTCAGCAACTTCTCCAGTAGATTCCTCGGACGAGCTCCAATGTATTACTCCGTCTTTAATCTTTAATCCAGTTGGACCATTGAGAACCTTGAATTGAGCTACGGAGTCCAAAATATCCATTTTGTAAGTTAAAATTTCCCCAGCAAGTATTTTCAGGGAAATATTCTTTTCGCCAAAAATTCTAGTTTCCAATGTTTTCCATTCTCCATTCGTACACAACAGACAGGGTTTTTGAGGATGAACGGAGTCAGATTCATAACATCCATCCTTTCCTTGACATACAGACGATTTTCTCTTGCAGACGGTTGGATGCTGGGGCATTCGTCCCTCAGGACATTCTTCACATGTGGAGTCAAAGACGGAGATAAATATCTCATTACTCATCTCTCTTCCATCGTTTGTAACCCGGATCTCGAAGATTTTCCCCTCCTCGCCTTTGTAAACTTTTCCATCGAGATTGCAATTGATAGATTTGTCGGAGATAAACTCAGCTTTGCTCTTCTTCTTTACACTCTCCGACTCTGGAACTCCAAGCTCCCGGAGACTACAGGCCAATCCAGGCCCCTGAAGAAAATCCTGTCCCAGAACCCGGATCCTTGAGCAATCATCCCGTTGTAGATCACAGATAGAATAGTTACCAGCCATGTATAGGTATGGAGGTAGAACTGTTTCTGTATGGAAGTCTGAGAAGTGAGAACAGTCGAAGGACGTGTATCCAGGATCACAAACACACTCTTTCCCGTTGCAATACCCTTTACCGGAGCAGAAGTTTGGACAGTTAATTCCGTCCTTGATTCTCCGGGGTGGGATAAGGTTTCCCATGAGATCCATGTCCCATGTAAGCTGTTGGTTTAGGGTCTCCTCCTCGCATATATTCTCCAGGAGGGGTAGAGTATAGGAGGCCCACATTGTATCATCCATCAAGAATACATCTATATAAAATACAATTTGGATAAAATATGAGAGAAGCAAAGAAATTGAGTCTTTGCCACAAATAAAAATTTTATATTGACTAGATATTTGCACCCTGATAGTTTAAATATTTCATATTTTAAACTTAGATTATTTGATCTTATAGAAAATATTTGAAATATTTAAGGTTTGCGACATTGGGCTGCAAAGATATAGAGTAGAAAAAATCAAATTTTGTGACAAAGACGCAATATTTTTTTATAAAACCCGCTTCAATTACTGTTTCAGTTTTACAAGAAAGAATTTAAAAAATATTAATTGTTACCTAAAACACACATATCCAGAACATCAATAATATTCTTGATATATTTCCCGCATTCTTTGGACATTGTAGAATTAATGATGACCTGAAGAAAATGTATTTTTAAGTTTATAAATTGGAAAATTTAATTGTTTAAACTATACCTGGTTGCACAGCTTATAAACGTTCTCCTCTGTGAGTCCTGATCTTGTAGGATAGGTTGGAATCACAGGTTCTCCAGCATCTCCATTGTAATCTCCTGGAGTATAATTAAACGTTAGAGACTACAGTGGTAACCAGAACACTCTGGAAAGATTGTCGTCTCTGTTTTTTCTTTTATTTAATAAATGTTGGATCTTTAGCTGTTATATCAGTTTATAATTCAAAAGAAAGATTGTAAAGATTGAAATTTGTTGATTTCAAAAAGAAAACAAAACAAGAAATTATTTAATTTTTTTGGTAGAATATTTTACTTTGATAAACCTTGTTTTACCAAACCTGGAAAAATATATGAAGACTCTGGTAGTGCATTGTAAAGATGGTTTGAGGACGATCTCCGAGTTCTCCGAGTAGGGATAGAGTAGTACAGATCGAAACCTTCTCCAAAGACTATCATCAGTAGGTTCAGAAAATGTGAATGAAGAAACTTACGTTATCAATTAATAGACTTTAGTTAGGCCAAACTCAGGATTATTTCATGTCGGAAAATGTCCCAAAAGTATTGATTTTACTTTTTCTCAATTGAACTTTTGACTTTTTCAAATTGGCATGAATTTTCTTATGACTTTTTGAGAGATTTATTTTTTTTACTTGAAAGTTTCCAAAAGAAATTCATTTATTAATCGATTTTTTCCCCACATTAATTTGTGATTGTTAAAAGAATAAATCTAATAATGTAAAGTTGCACTTTTGTTGTGAAGTATTTTTGCTTCCTCCACTTTGATGCTTCCGCGTCGGTGTTTTTTTAACAAACAATCAATAATACCAGTTTTATCTCCGCCTTTTCTAAACTATCTCAACGAACTCTCTTTGGATATTTAATCTTATTTCTTGTTTCCAAAACTGTTCCTTGTTTTGTTCTGTGATTTAAGTTAGGGTAGGAAGGCTGATCATTCATGTAATCGAACCATTGATTAGTTTTAATAAATCCATCAACACCTTGAAGTGGATCTCCACTTACACTCGGACTACAGATCAACAATAGATATACTCAAGGAATGATTCAGTGGAAAATTTTACGTTATATGTTTTCGTTAAAATAAAGACATTTAATAGATGGAAAAAAGTTGTGAAGAGACCCCTCCGATCTCAAAAAGGACAGAGAATGTGAATTCTTATTGAGAAATAACTTTTTTATTAAAAGTTTTAATTCAAAGAGTATCTATTTAGATTCCTAATATCGATAAACTGCAAGAGTTGGTTTACTCCAGGTGGTTTGCTAGATGAGCAAGAACTTTCTAGTTCTCCTTTAGACCCAGATACATCTATAAAAAAGATAGTTAATACTCCAGGTAGTGTTCCTAATAAGCTTTTCTAGGTGTTAGATCTCCAACATGGTTGATTCTAGGCAATAACATAAAAGAGTTTCTAATCTAAAATTGTGACAGTTTTCTCTCCAATGTTTAGTATTAAGTATTTGCCCACCTTGAGTAACAATCCTCATCTGCTCCGAGCATCCACACAGCCTGGGTTTCTCCTTCAAGTCTCCAACAACTGGAGTTTTATCAAACATGCTGGATCCAGGTTCCAACCTACAGATTCATTTTAATGGTTTAGTAAGAGAAAGAAAACTATTTGGCGTCTAATTTGTTCACACTTAAGCAAGATTTCGTTGAGCACTGTCGTGGGACTTTGTGAAGATTGTGTTTTACCTTGAAACTAGGATAGAACAGAAAGAAAAACGAGATGGATTAAGGAAGAGAGAGAAATGAGAGTTAGAAAAGAAATAAGTGGACAAAAAAATTTGAGAAAAAAAAGTTGCAATAGATAAAAATGAGAACAGGTCAAAGAAGATGCCAAGAAGATATTTGAAGATACCTCCACTCCTCTGCAAACTTGTTAACTTGACCATAGTTCATTCTCACGTCCAGGATTCGCCCTTCTTTGTCATGGAAATCATTTGTTTTATCACCGTCAAATATACCACAGAGTCCTCTAGACACAAAACAAATAATTGATCACGTTCTTCTTTTTTATGTTTGAACATCATGGAGGGGGGGGGGGGCGACAACGAAAATGAGGTTTTTTAAAAGTTTCCTCTTTTCTTCCTGATACCTTGAGTAACCATGATCTGCTCCATGTACCCGGAGAGATAGGGAGAGACCCCAGTACTCCAGGTGTATTCTCAACCTTCGACCGCTCTCGAACTCAAACTGAATCAGTTAAAATAAAATCAGGAAATCGTGTCTCTCCAATAAAGTTTGATTGTAAAATATGGAAATCTATTTAAAAGTTTAAATTGGTTTTTAATCCCTTACCGTGAGTACTTTTCCTTTCCTGGATTCTAGGACCCTGGTTCTAATCCTAGCTCCGGGTATACTATGCATACTGAGGCGGGGGAGGGAGTCTCTACCCTCATCCCCGCACATATCGAGGGTTAACATATCTCCTCCCTCCCTTACTACCATCCCACATACACAGGATACCATGCTCATCCCAGTCCTAGACAAATAAAAACAATCAAACCAGATGGTAAAACTAAATCTGAGGCCGAAGTTAAAGAATTTGAGCCGCGGCTTAAATTTAATCCGTTCTCAAATATGGTTGGTACCAATTAAATTATATTCAATTTTTCAAGATTTAAGCCGATGCTCAATTGAAACCGGTTTTGGGCAGATTTGAGCCGCGGCTCAAATTCAATAAATTCGGACACAGATGTTTTAATTCTGTAAAATCTGGAATAAAATGTTCTCCAGATAAGAACTAAAACTGATAAACCGGAACAAAGGAATTGAGTTTTTGTCACAAACTCTGATTTTCTTATCCCTATATCTTTGCATTTGAATGTCGGTGACCTTAGATATTTCAAACTATGAATCATTTTAGATCAAATAATGATAGTTTGAAATATCAAAGGTTTGCACCATCAGGTTGAAAAGATATGGCGATTGTAAAATCATAATTTGTGGCAAAAACTCAGTTCCTTTAATGCAAAAATTTATTTATAGCTAGTAACAAATGCGCCTTCTGGTTTTAAGAAAAAATAAGAAAACTTTAGCGGTAATTTAATTACAATACAGATTTTCTTGTCAATAAGTCTTGTACCTGGAGCACTCCCAAAGTCTTATATGAACCTCGAAGTTTTCGTCCAAACTCTTGTAGAGCAGGAAGGTTCCGGTTGTATAGAGATCGAACCTAGCTCCGTCAAGACTGATCATATGAGGATCCGTGAACACGTGACACATTGAGGTTGGGATATCATTTACCTTTACCTAGAACCAGAATAATATATAATCTCTCCCTTTGCTCTTGCAAACTTTATAAATTTTATAAATGGGGTTTTACCGGGAAAAAACTGGATGGAAATTCTTAAAATCACAGAATCCACAAAATACATAATTCTGTCGATGTATTGTTCTTCAATTTACTATATTTATATTTTCACAAAAAAATCTCCTTTCCTCCACCTAGTCCGTATATACCAAGGTTGTATAACAAGGGTGGTTACTCTCCAATGAAAGGAAAATGTCGTCTCCTAAGATAGATAGATAAAAACCTCATATGACGTCACTGATTATAGGGGCGAGAGCGGCGTCATATGAGATTTTTATCTATTCATCTTAGAAGACGACATTTTCCGTACATTGAATTGCGCATCAAGAATTTGTGTATACAAAATACTCCTCTGGATATTCTATATTTAACCAGTGATCACTCCTTGAAGTAAGCGTCAAACGAAGGCTTATATAAAATAAATAAAATAAAATAAAATCTTTGCCACAAATTCAATATGTTCTAATCTCTATGTCTGTGCTACCTGATGGTTTAAACCTTTTTTTTTAACAAACCTATATTATTTGTTCGAACAAAAGGGTTGAAATATCAAAGGTCTACGATATCATATAACAAAGTACTCGGGATTAGAAAATTAGGCTATGTGCCAAAGACTCAAGTCCTTTTACATGTTCACATAAAATTTACAAAAAAAAATTTATCATCCTAGAAATATGTTATTTTTTTAATCTTATTTAAGTTGTCTAAAGTCAGAACTTTTGTGTTTAAAATCTCGGGATCAAGCATTGATCTCCATCCTATGCAGACCTACGAATTAATTTAAGCTATCCTTAATAGTGCCCACATTGAATATCGAGATCAAGCGTTCAAGATTACAACGATACCTCACACAAATATTCCGACCTCTGGAAGTCAATATTTGGATCATCTTTTTAAATCATGAAGTTTACCTGAACAGACGGAAAGAAGTAATTATCCCAATTGGTTAAAGACCCGGACACAACAGCAAAGTCTAGAAAACTAGTTGTATCTCCGTCAGTGATCAGATCCAGGGCAGCTGATACCTTAATAAGTGGAACTTATTCCATTAAAGAATTGCAGATTGAATTTCAACATGCTCCAGAATGAACTAGTTAGTTTTGCTGTTTGTTTGTATGTCCGGTCATTACTCATGAACCCCTTAACCGATTTGCCTCAAATTTTGATTCGGGAACTCGGTAGAACCACAGGAGTGTTCTTAGTTTGGTTTAAAAATTCAGACATGAGTAAGTTGACGTTTCTAGATAAAGTTAAGTTTCCCGGCAAAGTTGGGTTTCCAAGCGAGTAAAATAACAAATAAAGCTCATAAAATTTCAACCTGAAGAGAATGGTTCCCACAACCCTGCACATCGCACTCCGATATTTCTCTCAGTGGTATAGAGCACCTGGAGACAAGGATATCAGAAGGACGAACTCCAACAACTAGAAATATATTCAGATATTGAAAAGCAATGTAAGAAAATTAATTAAACCCGACCGAGGAATACGACATTATATTTAAGACAGTTTAACCCAGTACTTCGGAGACATCGAACGAATTAATAAAATGTCGTTTTCTAAACCTACTGATAATGGAATGCTGCAGATATTCAGTTTTTTAATTAGATAACTATATAAAACTCTTCAAAACTGTTGCCGCATATTTCATGATTATTTATTTTACAAATACTGAGATTTAGGTATTATAGTATAAAAACCCCTTAAAATTTTTTTCAAAATGACATTGCTTAAATTCTTATGATGTCTCCGATGTTCCGGGTTAAAGTGTAGAATATATGAGAGTCAAAAGAATAGTTAATATTTCAGGAAACCAACAAATCATAAGAATATAGTCAATAATTTAGGTTAAAGTATTAACGGAAAATCTACATGAACATATTTATAATGAACACGTGCATTGTACATTTACATAATCTGCACAATACATTGTAAAGGAAATGAGTCTTTGTCACATACTCTGAGATTCCGTTAGATCAAATAATCTTCAGTTAGACATATTTAAGGTTTACACAATCGGGTTGCAAAGATATAGGGATTAGAACATTTGAGTTTCTGGCAAAGATTCAATTCTTTAACAAGTTTCATACATGTTCAATGTTCATAAAAGCATGATAATGAACAAAATAAACAAATGACCTACATGAGTTTCTTGTTTGAATGATAAGCTGCGCTGAGCAGGGTTTAGAAGCGCAGATTATCGGAGTATGCTGAACAATATCTAGGTTCACCACTCCTCCGTCCTCTCTCAGGTTCAAGTTCTGCTCCTGTATACTCAACCCTGTAGGATACGGTTCACTTCGGATACCATCAACTTCACAAACCAACTAGGAGTAAAATAAGATTATTGAAAGACGACATTATGGAAAAATGACGCGAAAAGATCTGGTATTGTAGTTATTTTTCAATACATTTATAGATTACTCTTAAACTTGAAAAGAAGAATCAAGTATAACAATGAGTTTTTATAACAAAGATTTAAACCACAGAGAATTTTGAATAGTTATTCACCTTATCTCCAGGTTGTATGAGGATACCAGGAGAGAAGATACTAATACCGTTTTCTAGCTCCTCCACAGAGAGATCCAGGAGCTCAACTCCACTATTCTCAATTCGAGACCAGATAGCACTTTTATAATTTATATATTAATGGTATTTAATTAATTTACAACTTTATTCTAATCTATGTTTTTTAAATAAAACAATTTTTTCTTGTTAAAGGGACTGTAGAGTGTAATGTTTTCTTGTTAAAGGGACTGTAGAGTGTAGACGAAATTTCAGGTGTTATAGAGTGTAAAGTCTGGGTCACAACGGTATCTTAAAACCTTTGTCTGATCTAGAATTTATGAGTTATAAATTTCTACTTTCATATGTAGGTTCTCTTCAGGAATATAGCTGCCGAAACAATGAAAAAATCGTCAGGATCCAACATTTTTCAAGCTAGACAAACGATATTTTCCACATCATTTCCTCATCATGATCATTTTGAACCCGGCCTCCTGCCCCTTTTTTTAATAAAAGGTCTGTTAAAATAACGTCTACAGCCCCTTTAATAGATTTTCTTACATTTGTTCCTTTGGTTTGAAGTTTAGTGAACATTCGAATCGAACTTGTTGATTCTCCAGGTTTAATTGTATTCTTGGTTTTCCTTCCTGTCTTCTTTTCTTCTCATCTTTCTCTCTTCTTCTTTCCTTCTTAGACTTCTTATGCTTTTTTCCTCCTTTTAGTTCAATATTCTTCTCTTTACTTTGCTTTATGGGTATATCGTCATTTTGTTCGTTGGATTTCCTTTCTTCAACCATTTTAAATCCGATTGATTTCCAATCTTGTCTTACCCCGTTTTGAGACGTCTCAGTGGGGCCTAAAAAATAAAATTATTAATATTTGATGCGGCTATATGTTATATCTCTATAATATTAAGTTTGCCTCCAGTTAAAGTTTGTACCCTGAGCTAAATGCAAATCTAAAGTTCTAAGCTAACAATGCGTTCTCTGATTATACAACTTCTCCGTCCTGCATCAAGTTGCACAGATGACATTAATATCAAAACATGTTAATAATCTCTATCTTGAGTCTTGACATCATTTAAACAAAAGAATTTTAATCTTAAACTCTTTCCTAAATGCTAAATGTTACAGCAAACTATTTAAAAGCTGAAAAATTATAATTTAGAAAAATCTTTATATATTTATGATCTTTATAGAAAATAATATTATTGAATCATTTATTTTCCTTTTCATCCTTTAAAAACTATTAAACTATTTGCTCTTGGAGGACTTGGAGGGCAGTTGGTTGAAAACAGAAGAAGAAAAGGATAAAGAAGGGAGGAGGAAAATAATAGAGAAGAAAAGGATGAAGAAGGGAGAAGGAAAATAGTAGAGAAGAAAAGTATGGAGAAGGAAAATAATAGAGAAGAAAAGTATGGGGAAGGGAGAAGGAATATAATAGAGAAGAAAAGTATGGAGAAGGGAGAAGGGAAATAATAGAGAAGAAAAGTATGGGGAAGGGAGAAGGAATATAAGAGAGAAGAAAAGGATGAAGAAGGGAGAAGGGATATAATAGAGAAGAAAAGGATGAAGAAGGGTTAAGGAATATAATAGAGAAGAAAAGGATGAAGAAGGAAGAAGGGAAATAATAGAGAAGAAAAGGATGAAGAAGGAAGAAGGGAAATAATAGAGAAGAAAAGGATGAAGAAGGGAGAAGGAAAATAATAGAGAAGAAAAGGATGGAGAAGGGAGAAGGAGAATAATAGAGAAGAAAAGGATGGAGAAGGGAGAAGGAATATAATAGAGAAGAAAAGAAAATGAATGAGAGCAATGGTGAAGGAAGGAATAGGAAAGAAGAAGAAAAAGAAATAGAAATTACTGAAGTGGGAAAGGAGAAAAAAGATAGCAAGGAATCCCCCAAAACATATATTTTCGGGTTAAACTAAAGCAATTTCAAATATTTAAAACTGTTCTAAAGCAAAAATAACGATGTGTAGTATGATATAAGTTGTAAACTATTTTGTTTTGGTTATCAAAGATAAACTCCATATCCGGAATTTTTTATTATCCCGGGAAACAGTTTTACCGGGAAATAATGTCAAGAATGAGATTATTGTATCTTTACATTTTATGCAAACCTTTTTAATCAAGTGTAAACTTTATACTCGCCTTTTAAATCAATCTTTACAGCTCTTCTAACTTATTCAATTAATAGATTATTTTTGCATAATATATACTTTCTTTAACCCTGTTCAACACTTTTTAACAAGAACAAAAAAGTCATAAAAATATTTTAAACACAAAATATAGGATTTTTGTTTATACTAATAATGTTTCAATTTTATGAAGATATTCACAAAAACTTAAATGTTGAATAGAATTAAGAAAAAGATATCAGCCAATCTTAAATTCGAGGATACTCAATACACCTTGCCCGATAAACTTTATTTTAATTCCTCCAAATCCACTGAAAATAAGAATGGTAACAAACCTTTTAAACTACTTAAAGGAATTGAATTACTGCCCCAAACTCAAATTTATAAATCCCTATATATGCTGGCAACATGATGGCAACAGGACAAAATAAACGTAGAACAAGACAAAAGAATAGGACAGGACAAAATAAACGTAGAACAAGACAAAAGTATAGGACAGGACAAAATAAACGTAGAACAAGACAAAAGTATAGGACAGGACAAAAAAGACAAAAGTATAGAACAGGACAAAATAAACGTAGAACAAGACAAAAGAATAGGACAGGACAAAATAAACGTAGAACAAGACAAAAGTATAGGACAGGACAAAATAAACGTAGAACAAGACAAAAGTATAGGACAGGACAAAACAAACGTAGAAAAGACAAAAGTATAGGACAGGACAAAATTAACGTAGAACAAGACAAAAGTATAGAACAGGACAAAATAAACGTAGAACAAGACAAAAGAATAGGACAGGACAAAATAAACGTAGTACAAGACAAAAGTATAGGACAGGACAAACGTACGTAGAACAAGACAAAAGTATAGGACAGGACAAAACAAACGTAGAACAAGCCAAAAGCAGGACAAGACAAAAGTAGGACATAAAAAAGTAGGGCAGACGTTTGTGTCGTCTCGTCTTGTTAATTCTACGTTTGTCTCGCAACATGTATAATATATACGTTTTGCCTGTCTCACGTTTGTCCTAGTACTACCATAGGAAGTACTAAGTACCCTTGTATCTGCTAGTAAATATATATTGCCTGAAGTTAAAACTGGTTTCAAAAATAAAATTTTAAATCCTTTTAAAGTAAATATGTGAACAGTTGTATTACAAAAGATCATGTTGTAATTATTTGTAAGTACTCCGTAGAATAATCTTCATAAATGGTTAATTGAATGTTTTCGAGGAAATACTGCCCAATTTTTTGCTGAAAAAGTATTTTTCTACTTTTCTGACATTTTGTTTTGTTTTGTTTGTTTTTTATAATTTGATTGACTAATCTATATATATATACTATGCTTGTTTGTTTCTCTTTTAGTTTGTATCCAATAAACTTTAAAACGGCTGAACCGATCGGGCCCAAATTTGTTGTGGGTCCTCGCGTGACCCCAGGGAAGATTTATGGATTTTTTTAAAACTTGCCTCTAAAAAATTCAGATTTTGAAAATTTTGAAAATCCACGAAATTTTATTTGTTTTTCTTTTACAATTTGAACAAAGAGAACATTTTCACAATTGAAATAGAAGATGTGCGCGAAGCGCCCTAAAAGCCTAGTTTATATATAAAATGATATATTTCTTTCATTATTATAATAAATTTTATGCTTTTAGTTTTAACTTAATTTGGTTTAATGCCAGGAAGTTGCAACGGGACTGTTTGCGTATTATAAAAAGAGGTTTAAAAGGACTGTTTGCGAAGAAGGCAAAGTATGATCTATATCGGTAGCCTTTAAAGCTATGTCTGATCAAGTATGAATTAGATATCAATGTTTATAATTTTAAAAACTGATCATTTTCAATTGTGGTTTCTCTACAGAAGTGTTTGGCGCATTTCTACTGCAGGAAAACATAAAGGAATTAAACACTTTTCTCTTTAGAAAAACTACAATATCTTCCACATTATTGATCGGATAACGGTTTTAAGGGTATCGTTGTGAATCAAGATTTGCTATCTTTGCATGGAGGGTCACTTGAAATTACGCTTACAGTACCTTTAAGACGATTATTAAATGAGTTGCTTTAATTTTTAGTGGACATTTCCTTTATTTCTATAGACGTTGGGGTACGTTGTGAAAGATACTAAGCCCCCTCTAAAGTAGTTTTAGCTTTAACTTTAACTTTAACGTCTCTGAAGTCGCATCCTTTGTGGGTAGCCCTGTATCTTAGATAGTTTGAGGGGAGGGGGGCAAATTTATAATTTTTATTTATACCCAACAAGTTTTAATCCACTTTTGTAACACCCAGTTGATATATCTGTATCCAAGTATCCTGCTCATTTTCATGAAAATTCTTTTGTTTTGTAACTTAATCGAATTCAAGAAGAATGCTTGAACTCGTGCAAAATCATAAATTGCCGGGTTTGGCCTCAATGCAGTCTAGTTAAGCCTTTTCCCTGCTAAAAAGCTTAATAGTAAACCCACTCATACGATTTATATTTACAATGTCTTCACTTGTGATATTTCGAATAAGTTAGGATCTCGAAAAAATCGTTGATACCGGAAAATGTTCAAAATGTCATTCCTAAAGTCTTTAAAGGGACTGTCCTTGTTATTTTAAGGGTGTGTGTCTGATTCCCAATGATACCATTGAAACCCTAATCTGATCGGTAAACTTGGTTTTAATTCTTTAACAGTGTTTAATTCTTGTAATTTCTTCATTTTTTTAATTAGTTAGTGGTAGTTGAGATGAGAATGCAGTTTTGTAGAGAAATTTTTTAGAATTTATTTGATACCTGTAAAACGTTGTTCAGCAAGAGAGTATTTATTCAATCAATAAAATCTTCATAGATTGTTGATTAATCATTTTGGATTGATGATTTTGAGAATTGTTTTTTAATTATTCAGTAACAACAGCTAAAAATGTAACACAAATTCGACAGTAAACTAATTAGATGTATAGAAACATATTTCTTAATCAAAATTTCTTATTAAATCATTGTTAGAATGAGTTATTACTTTTTCATCATCATATTGAATTTCTTATTCTATGTTAATTTGTGCGCAGATTTCTTCAAATTGTTCAAATGTCGTCTGTTCAATAAAAATTCCAGGAAATCTACGAATAGCGATGGGCAATAGCCTGCTATTAGTTTTACAAAGTTTTTTTTTAAAATTTTTTAGACCTTTAATAGGTTTAATAACATTTGAATCAAACAAAATTCCGATTTTTTATCTTAATCCTATTTTTGCTTGTGGCATGTGCTTAGCATCTTTATAGTACACTACTGAGCAGGACTATAGTCTTGTTTACCTTTATCTGTATCTATGCAGTACACTACTGAGCAGGACTATAGTCTTGTTTACCTTTATCTATATCTATGCAGTACACTACTGAGCAGGTCTATAGTCTTGTTTACCTTTATCTGTATCTATGCAGTACACTACTGAGCAGGACTATAGTCTTGTTTACCTTTATCTGTATTTATGCAGTACACTATTGAGCAGGACTATAGTCTTTTTTACCTTTATCTGTATCTATGCAGTACACTACTGAGCAGAACTATAGTCTTGTTTACCTTTATCTGTATCTATGCAATACACTACTGAGCAGGACTATAGTCTTGTTTACCTTTATCTGTATCTATGCAGTACACTACTGAGCAGGGCTATAGTCTTGTTTACTTTTATCTGTATCTATGCAGTACACTACTGAGCAGGGCTATAGTCTTGTTTACCTTTATCTGTATCTATGCAGTACACTACTGAGCAGGCCTATAGTCTTGTTTACCTTTATCTGTATTTATGGAGTACGCTACTGAGCAGGACTATAGTCGTGTTTACCTTTATCTGTATCTATGCAGTACGCTACTGAGCAGGCCTGAGTTGGTTGAAGATAGTATGAGAGGAAGCTCCCACAGTTCCTTACAATAACAGGTATTGTAAACAAACAACAGTCAGGAGATGACCCATGGAAGGGCCAGCTAACACAGGCTGAGGACTCAATCTAAAATTAGCAAAAAATATATAAGATATTATATTCACTGTTCTTCTACAAAACGTGTTCAGTTGGCAGTAGGTATACGGTATACCCAACGTTGGTTTCCAGGGTTATGGTGTCCACCTATTCTGGAGGTGACCATGGTATCCTGGTATCCATCTATACTAGAATTTACCAGGGTGTCCTGGTCTCCATCTAAACTGGAGGTTATTAGGGCATCATGGTATCCATCTATTCTGGAGGCTACCAGGATATCCTGGTCTCCATCTATACTGGAGGTGACCAGGGTATCCTGATCTCCATCTATACTGGAGGTTGCCAGGATATCCTGGTCTCCATCTATACTAGAGGTTACCAGGGTACCCTGGTCTCTATCTATACTGGAGGTTACCGCGGTATCCTGGTCTCCATCTCTACTGCAGGTTAACAGAGTATCCTGGTCTCCATCTATACTAGAGGTTACCAGGGTATCCTGGTCTCCATCTGTACTGGAGGTTAACAGGGTATTCAGGTCTCCATCTATACTGGAGTTTACCAGAGTATCCAAGTCTCCGTTCATTTACTTGAGGTTACCAGGGTATCATGGTCTCAAGCTAGACTGGAGGTTACCTGTGTTAGATTGTCTGGTATCTTGGTCTCCATCCAGACTGGAGCTGAGGTTCCACAAACTCCTGCTCCGGGACAGCGTGAAGGTAGAAACCCGGATTTTCCTGAAATATGAGTTATAAATCGTTACTTTTCGCGAAAAATGAAAGAGGGTATAGGCTTAATGCAATAAAAAAAGCGCTTTTGATCGCTACTAATCTTACTTCTATCTGTTGCGTCTATAAGGAGAAAATTGTTAAAAACGACTCACACCGAAGAACGCAGCGTCCATACAAATTCGGAAAGATGCAACATTCAACTCGGATCGTAAACAAATCAATTTAATTCAAAACAAATCATTCATATATTACAAACAGTAGTCATCGATTATTTTTCGACACATTCGTATATAGTTAATATTTCATAATATTTAAAAAAAAATTTTTTTTAATAATTTTCGCTGGCACTGGATTTTCGAACATTCCTGGAAAATATGATGCCGTCTTCATTATCAAAAATCCTCGTAACAGCCAACAGGAATAAATATTTTCAAAAGTAACTCTTAGATCATGAAAAATACATAATATTATGAAATATCAACTATTTACGAATGCGTCGAAAAATAATCGATGACTATTGTTTATAATAGCTGAAGGATTTGTTTGGAATTAAATTGATTTGTTTACGATCCGAGTTGAATGTTGCATCTTTCTGAATTTGTATGGACATTATGTTCTTCGGTATTAGTCGTTTTTAACAATTTTCTCCTCATAGACGCAACAGATAGAAGTGAGATTAGTAGCGATCAAAAGCGCTTTTTTATCGCATAAAGCCTATACCCCCTTTCATCCCTTTATAATCGAAACACATTTATTTCTATTTTAAGCCACTTAGAAATCACTGCATGAATGGCATTCATTCCAACCTTAATAAGTGTGTCCGGACTCTTCTGTTTTAATTCCTACCTTGAGCCATGAGTCTATACCATCCTGGAGGAAGGAGATCATCACAGAGAAGATCGTCCTGATCTTGAGGATGAAAGGACGGGGATCTCCGGGTATCATCAAGTACACGGTACACTGTAGGGTTACATCCATCTAATAAATAAAACTGGTTTTGTAAACACAGCTTTTAAACTAAATGTAAAGCTTATTGTACCCGATTTTAGCCAAGCATAATAATTTAATCATATAAAGTATGTGTGTCTGTCTATTTGTTTTACATATGCCTGATCATAACTCGTGAACCCTTTGCCCAATTAGCCTTAAAATTTGATTGGGTAACTGGTTTCCACGACAGAAATGGTCTTGTTTAAATGATTGTTAAAATCTCCAGGCAAAGCTAAGTTCCCAAGCTAGTTTACTAATAAAAGTTGAAAATAGTTAGGTGTATATGATTAAGCCAGTGTCGAGTGGGTCAACCTTTACCTGATTGAAGACCTGAGCTGAGATATATAGATGATGAACCAGGAATACTCCAAACTATCTCCAGGATAAGAATACTTTTAACAAACATTTTTACATTTTAATCCTTCTCCGTCTTGTCTTACATTTTTTTCCTTTTTTCTTTCGATCTTTATTCTTCTTGCATTATTTTTAATTAGTCTCCTTCTTATTTAATTCCTTTCCTTTTCTGACGCCATATTGGATTCTCTAAGTCAAAGCATTTTTAGATTTTAACTTTCACTTTTCTATCTTATACTTTCACACTTCTGGTTTTATACACAAGAGTTATATTAAGTATTCATTGTTGAATATCTTGCTTACCACTCTCCAACATAGTAATATTTTTTGGTAAAATCACGGAAAGTTTTTGTATTCAAGAACTGTGTTTAGGTTTAATAATGGATACCGTAGACCAATGATTGTCCTCCTCTAAAGTTCATTATGTATTGTTCTGAAAATAATGCATTTTTTAAATTTAAAGCAGAAATCAGAAGAACTCCTTCAATAGTTTGCAAAGTATAATTATTCTAAATTAACTGTACATCAAATGCTCAAAGAAAATAATAGTTGTTAATCAAAACTGGGACCAAATAAACAGATAACAGAACTATGAGTGGATATTGTTAATCTTCAACGCTTGATCTCGATATCCAATGCGGGCAATTTTAAATCTAAGGATCAATGCTTGATCCCTAGATTGACAATACAAAAGTTCTGAATTCAGATCAGTTCTCTCAAACTCCAATTCAATAGTCCTGATATCTTAGCAACTTGACAATTGTTAAAATTTTAAATAACAAAAGTTAAAACCATCAGGTTTTACCGATATGGGAATAAGAAAATTGAAGTATAAGGCAAATGGTTTTTCTTTTGATTAAAAATAGCAATTTCAAAATGTTTCTGTATGACATCTTTTTCTATGATAACCCCCCCTAGTTTGTAACTTTTTAAAAATACTTCGATTGGTTACAAAGATACATTTGTTTATTGATTTTCAATATAAAATAGTATTTCTAGTTTTTTCATAAAAAAAGCTTTTTACTTTAATAGACCTTCTTCGTACATAATGTATCTTATTTACTATTTCTATATATAATAAAAAAATTAAAATTCAAATTATGTGTTGAATAATATTTCTTTTCTTATAGACAAATATATCATATCTTTTGAATGATATATATGAATATAATGAATATATTTCATATATATAGATTTATATTTCATATATATATATATATATATATATATGTGTGTATATAATACCTTTTGAATTGATAGAAAAATTAAGAAAAACGAAAATAAGATGCAAAACTTATTCTACTCTTCTGAATAAAGGAAATATAGATATGATAAAACATTAAATATATAAAGAAATATTGACATTTAATTTGACAAAAAATATCAATATTTATCTCTACTACTCAGCTACTGTATAACTACAATATCAATATTAATCTCTACTACTGAGCTACTGTATAACTCTTTAAACCAAAGTTGCTGACTTATATTGAATATTTACTAGGAGTAAAGTATTATGTATCCCATCCGGGGATCAATAAACTAAATCAAGTTTAATCCCAACACCTACCCCCCCCCCTTTATCCACGGTACCATCACCCTATAATTCTCCCTTCTGAACTCCCTTTTATAGACTAACATCCCCCTTTTATCTCTCTAGTGTATATGCCTCCCCCCCTTATGTTGAAGATAACAACGAATGTGTCAATTAGTTTCACCGAGCATAAACCCCCAATACACGAGGACAACTGGTGCATACTCATTCAACCATGGGGAAACGAACCTATGTGTGTTTCTGACTTAAGATTTTTCCGATCAGAAGGTTTTTTAACCTACTGTGTTTTCAGTCCAAATTGATTTTGGCTTTTGGTTCCTTTAAAAATTCAGTGAGGTCAAAAATTCTATTTAAAATCCTGAATCCATTCCTATGTTACACATCAAGAATATCCGTATATAATATATATTTTTTGTAATATTATACAAGATGAATACAAAATAATACTAACTTAAATTTTCGTAAACCATTTCTCATGATCAGGTCCCTAAATATTTGTTGGTCGGATCAGTTTAACCTTTTTGAAGATTTAGAGATCAAGACAAACAGACAAGATATATTTGATAAGTATACATATAAAACATTTAAATATAAGAAGAATGTCTAGGTTAGGTGAAGATATATTGATGGAATTAGGCAGGATGGAAATTCGAAAATGGAATTAAGTATTTTCTGCAAACTCAAATTTTCTAATCCATATATCTTTGGGCTAATCTTTACTTCATTGGGTTGAAACAAGATCTTGATAAAAAGCAGCTAGTTCGGAAAACCTTTGGGTAAGACTTTGCTAGATCAGTTTTCCTAGAATTGGATAATCTATCGTAACTAGCTCTGAAGAGATAGAAAGACCAACGCAACCATACAAACACTTTCAAATCCTAACCTTACACTCAACTTCCGGATTTAGGAAAATCCGGAGCAAATCTGAGATTAAGGATTACAAACGGAACATTTTGTTTCAGATTAGGACCAGGACCAGGACCAGGACCAGGACCAGGACCAGGACCAGGACCAGAACCAGGACCAGGACCAGGACCAGGACCAGGACCAGGACTAGGACCAGAACCAGGACCAGAACCAAGACCAGGACCAGGACCAGAACCAGAACCAGAACCAGAACCAGAACCAGAACCAGGACCAGGACCAGAACCAGGACCAGGACCAGAACCAGAACCAGGACCAGGACCAGGACCAGGACCAGGACTAGAACCGGGGAAAAACCCATGACCATTGACCAGCATAAGAGCTAGGACCATCACCATGACTAGGACTAAAATCAGAACCAGGACAAGAACTAGGACTAGGACCAGAACTAGAACCAGAAATTGGACCTGGACCAGGACCAGAACTAGGACTAGAACCAGGACCAAATACAGGACCAGAACTAGGACCAGGACCATGACCAGGACTAGGACTAGAACCAGGACCAGAAACAGGACCAGAAATAGGACCAAGACCAGGACCAGAACTAGGATCAGGACCAGTGACCAAGACTAGGACTAGAACCAGGACTAGGACAAGAACCGGGATTTGTTTAAACAAAATGACGAGAATTATGAAAATTAAAAGCACTTTTGATATATTAGTAACATGATTTATTTCATCACAATAAAAAATATGTTTATTTTCGATATTTAGATAAGAAAATAATGTGAAGATCATATGTGCTCTATACAAAGATAAAAATGGAATTTGAAAGACTTTAAAAAGAAAAAAAGAAAATGAAAAGAAAAGTAAAATAAAAATATTTCAAGTTCATATTTTTATAAATGGTTCAATTTATCATGCCAGAACGTAGAGGTAGGAAAACTGAACTTCTTATCTAGGAAAACACTCGGAAATAGAGTTTTTTTTTTTAAAGAAAAGTGGAAAAACATCACTTAGCAAAATTTTAAAAGGGATGGTCTTTATTTCATGAATAAGAAGAAAAGGATTTTTTGGTAATTGAACCTTATGCTATGTTGCATTTCATGTTCCGCGTTTTGCTTAGCATTTTTCAGTTCCATTATTGTCCTGGCCTACACTTTTTCAGTTCCATTATTGTCCTGGCCTACACTTTTTCAGTTCCATTATTGTCCTGGCCTACACTTTTTTTATATGTAAAATTATGCACTTCAAAAAGAAAGGACTTCTGAAACTTGAAAGTCGGCTTTTCAGAACCTTCAAAAAAAGTCTTAAAGTGCAGTTTTAGAAAACGTGTATTATTACTTTGATGATTTTTGAAACATAATATAACCCCCCCCCCCTCGGCAAACGTTTCCTCAAAGTGAATGTTTAAAAACAATGATAATATAGATTTTAATTTATTCCCTGCACTTGGTGCTTCAGTAATATTGAAATTAGTTTAAATTTTAACTTTGGGGTTAAAATATACATAGTGTCTACTTTGTGTTTTTAAACCATTGTGACAATTAACAAATTGTAAACATAACATAGTAAACATGCTAGACAATATTGTAGCAATTTTAGACAATTTGTAACAATTTAGGCAACTTAGTTATAATTTTAGACAATTTGTACCAATTGTAAACAATTTTCTAACAATTGTAGACAATGAGGGTGCAAAGATATAGGAATTAAAAAATTTGAGTTTGTGACAAAGACCCAATTTCTTTGAAACCCCAGATGCTAAAGAATAATTGTGCATTCCTGAATTCTTTGATAAATCATTATATCACCATTTATCAGTTTAACCTTTATATTTATATCATGAAAATAGCATTTACTTGTTGTTCTTTCAATAGGTTAACTGCCTACCTAGAGAAATATCTACCCCCCCACCCCACCCCTCCTCATACTCGCATACAACACCTAGCTTTAACCTAATCATTCATTATCCTTTTTCCCATGAAAAAAAAGTTACCATATCATTAAAAAAATGTTTCAAAAAGTGTCAAAATATCAAATTATTGTTTGCTGAAATTTTTCTGCATAAGTAAAATGATCATGTGGTTCATTATTGTACTGTTTTCTTTTTTTCAGACATAGTATCCTCACTTGGGGGTTAAAAAACAATTCAGAAAAAAACGAAAAGCATGTAGGATTCAGAAAGGTATAGGTCAAGGAAAGTATAGGACGAGGAAAAGTATAGGACAAGGAAAAGTATAGGACGAGGAAAAGTATAGGACCAGGAAAAGCATAGGACCTGGAAAAGTATAGGACCTGAAAAAGTATAGGACCGGGAAAAGTATAGGACTGGGAAAAGTATAGGACCAGGAAAAGTATAGATCTGGAAAAGTATAGGACCTGGAAAAGTATAGGACCTGGAAAAGTATAGGACCGGGAAAAGTATAGGACCGGGAAAAGTATAGGACCAGGAAAAGTATAGATCTGGAAAAGTATAGGACCGGGAAAAGTATAGGACCGGGAAAAGTATAGGACCGGGAAAAGTATAGGACCTAGAAAAGTATAGGACCTGGAAAAGTATAGGACCGGGAAAAGTATAGGACCGGGAAAAGTATAGGACCAGGAAAAGTATAGATCTGGAAAAGTATAGGACCAGGAAAAGAATAGGATAAGGAAGAGAATAAAACCAGGAAAAGTATACGACTAGGAAGGAAAATATAAGGATTCTGAAAAAGGATTTTTTAAAAATCAGGAAAGGAATGATTTAGCATAAGAAAAGAAAAGAATAAGAACCAAGAAAGGAATAGGATCAGGAAATGCAAGAAAACGCATTAGAAATTTAAAAAATCTAACGAAATCAAGAAAGGTATAGAATAAAAAAAGAAATATTAAGAAGCAGCAAAGAGAAAAAAACCTGGAAATGTTTATGATTAGGAAAGGTATGATTAAGAAAAGGAAAGAAAAAAGAACCAGGAAAGGTAGTTTTAAGAAAGAAAAATTAGTATCAAACAAATTATAAAGAAAAGAA